ATAAAGATTATATTACAAATGATGTAAAATTGTATTTAAAGTGTTTCCATTATATTTTTATAGATAAACCGATAGTACTAACGCAGATTCACACAAACGATCTAACGTGGTATCTTACCTGTGCAAAGACAACTATTCAAATTGAAAAATAAGGAAATGGGTCATCAAATGAATACGATTTGTATGTAATTCGTTTGTATATTTATAAATAAAGAATATCTACAATGAAAATGTACAAGAGAAAGAACTATTAAGTATTAGTAAAAATGAATATCATATAAAGTCTTTAATAGTACATTAGTAGCAAAAATAGATGTTATATAAAAATATGCATCTTTAAGATTCGTTATGAGATTCTTACAATTACTAATTTGTCGAAGTAACCCCAAACATTTTTGTGTAACTTTTCCCATTTTTCAATCCGAATAAGTGCGATAAATAATTTTTTTTGTCAATTGACAGTCACCTCAAACTAAATTTTCGTTATATCCAATATTATATTTTAATATTGTTCTGAAGCTATTTTCTTGTGGCATTTTAAATTAGTTACTATTTAACTGGGAATAAGCCACAATTAAAGATAAAAATACGTTTATTGACGTTTCAATTTCCACTTCGGAAATCGTTCTCAAAATACAAACATTAAATTTACTGTTTGTATTTTGAGAACCATTTCCGAAATGGAAATTGAAACGTCAATAAACGTATTTTTATCTTTAATTGTGGCTTATTCCCAGTTAAATAGGAATTAATTAGATTTTAAAACGGCGCTTTAAAATATGTTCATAATTTTGACTCAACTGAGATGATTTTGGAAGAAACTAATACACAGGAACTTAAGACCAAAAGAGAATGGCCACCTGGAGGAAATATTTTAACAGTAGACGATGCAAGCTGGCTGATGATGCCACTGTGACATCGCAATAGGACATCGTACTAAACTTGTAATTGTGTAAAACGTTACCAGTTCACTACTTAAAAGACTATAAGGAAGCTTCGTTTGACATATCTTGTACATCCTATTCAAAAATGATATTACAAATACTCAAAAAAACAAAACAGTTAGTTGCTCTATTCACAATTCACAACTGTACAAGCGAAAAGAACTAGATCGGCCGAGAAATGCCCGCATCTGCGTTTAGAACTCACATTCCGCCATTTACTTCATATTATCTGTAATTTACTATGCGTCATCCGTCATTTTTTATGTCATATGTCATTAGTTTTAAGTCACTGGGCAAAATGATAATTATTACCTTTTTAAAAACTAACTTTAGGTAAAAAAGTACTAAATTATAGCCTTATTGGACGTATCGTTGATCTCTTGCTCAAAAATGATATTTTAAATAAGCAAGAACAATAATTAACTTATTGGCGGGATCACACAAACTGTACAATGCAGTCCAAAGAGCTAGATAGACCAAGAAAAGCGAGATTAAAATAAACGAGAACAAGACAGATAATGAAATGTACTAAACTAAGTACTGAACATTCATTAAACATAAATAAAAATCTAATAAATTAAAGAAGAAAGCAAAATTCTAAATAAGACTATGCAAAATATCACAAGTTTGTGAAAATTCATGTAATGAGGAAGAGAGAGTCCATGTTTTGTGTGAAAGGGATGGCAGAACTTACATTCTCTCATTGATCCTTTGTCAACATTCCGTGTATGTTGTCATGCCATCTGTCATATGTCACACAGCGTTTGTCATTTATTAGTGTCTCTGTCATTTATTATACGTCATCTCTTAGTAATTATGTCACCTTTCATTAGTTGTGTGTCACAGGGCGAAGGCATTCTGTTACGTGTATCTTCCCATTGATGAGTAAAATCTTAAGTTTATACTTATCTTTTTAAAAACCACGCTTAAATGCCAAAAGGATATCCAAAAAAGTTTTTAAAAAATATATGTTATAATATAATTCTTCAGAAAACCGAATGTATTGTATTTCATATTTAAATCGAACATTTAATTGATAATAAAAGTTTTATTGGTTGTTTGAGATGAACTGTCAAATCTGTTTAATAGTAGCACTATTGACAGTACTACCACCAAAAAAATATTTTTAAAGAAACTAGTATAACTATTTAAAATAATAATTGGTAACTAATGGTATAAAACAGCCCTCAGAAAAAGTAAACAATTTCCTACAAACACAAAGACAACCCCCACACAAACACTAAGCTAGATGCATACCTAAATCGTGCTAGAATATGTCAAAAAATAATACTGCGCCTCAAAATTATTGTACTTTTATCTTGTTTACTAAAATATATAATAGAGTCAATTAACTGGAATTTGTAATACGTCAAAACAGAACCACTGTTGCACTAACTGCTCTTTAATAACTGAGTACGTCACTATTTTCAATTGAAGCTACAGAATTCGGTCTTTTAGACTCTAAACCTTGCGTTATTTTTTGTAAAACCAGTTTAAAGATGTTTTTGGGCGAACTCAGGATGACACAAAAAATATCGGTCGTTATTTCAAATCCAACTCGAAGGACCAATAAAAAAAGGCAGTTAGAATGTGTTGTTATCTATCACAGATATAATCGGACAATTTTCAATTAAAGGTGACTAATCTACAAATTTAACTAAACGGTAGCGGCAACCATGTAAAATGTCAGCAGTAAATTCTTACCGGGGTCATTTTTATTGTGTATGCTTCGCCCATGTAAATAATGAGTGAAATATGATATTTTAGTTTAGATTTTAGAGATTATTTTTCTCATTTTCAAGGAAAACGGTACAATTTTTAATAAACGAACATATTGTATCTTTAATGTAAATTAAATTTTAAGGTGAAAATTTTCGAATCATTCGGGGTGTAGATGCATTCTTCACCTTTTACATAAATACATAGTATTACTTTTGCATATCCTACATTCTTGCACTATCGTCTCTTTTTTATAATGTCGCCAATATTGTCGAATCTGGTTTCATCTGATAAAGCAAATTTAGATTGACGTCCATGTAGTAAGTTTGTCATTGATGTAGCGGTTTATTATAAATATAAATCTATGTTGGCTCATGCTTTCTCTTATAATGTGCACTTTATCCTCATCCTTTGACCAATGCATATCAACTTGAAGCAGAGCGTGAACGAGATAATATACATATGCCAATATATATAAATATATATATATATATATAATATATATATATATATATATATATATTTAAATATATATATTTATATATATATATATATATATATATATATATATATATATATATATATATATTTAAATCTATGTTATTCATTTCAAAATCGTGACGGTTATTCTGCGATGCATAAATATTTGTAAAATATAAAATGCTCTCAATTACTTTTTTTATCAAAAAAGAGTCAAAAAACTTCAATATATGACTTGCCTACATGGTTGGCTTTTATATTGTCTAAATCAATCAGACTAATGTTGAACTACTACTGAGCACGAAGGAGTATCTGTTGTTACAACTTGAGACAAATTTGGATTTACTATTTTTGCCTGTTTTTTTCTTTACACGTTTTATCTGTGGTTCAGAGGAATATCATAACCAGAATCGTAAGAATTCCTAATCACTTGTATTTCACATGTACCTGCAATATCCGATTTTATTGATTCTTCGCAAATAATATTATCATCAATGTCTTCTACATCAGAAACTTTCTAATCTAGTCTCGGCGGCAAATAAACCACATTAAGTGCCATCTTCATTTCATATTTTGAGAATTAACTAAAATAAACAAATGCACTATAGAGAATGATGTGTAATGACGAGATCGTATGTTAAAATTTCAGATTGTTTAGTCTAATGAAAAAAATAAGTATTTTCCAAAGTTGGAATCAAATTTTACTTTAATTTGTTAGACAACTACAAGATACCTGTCAAAAGACAGATTTAACTAAGACTATTATAAATATAACTATAATTAGACTAAATTTAATACTTATATCGGTCTTAGATTTCATTTTTACGTAATCACTTGTGTTTAAATAAATAATTAAATCCATTTAAATCAAGTTAAAACAAAACAAATATAACGTTTATAGCATACAGCAATTCTATAAATAGAGTGAAGTGAACGACGAGATCGTATGTTAAAATTTCAGATTGTTTCGTCTAATGAAAAAAATAAGTATTTTGCAAAGATTTCTGTTTTTTGAAGTACTCTATTAGGTACTCTATAATAACAATAAACTTTTACTTTATTTTGTTAGACAACTATAAGATACCTGTTAAAAGACACATGATAATTTAATAATTATATCGATCTTAGATTTAATTTTTACGTAATTACATATGTGTTCAAATAAATAATTAATTTTTTTTGGTACGCCTCTGCAAAATTGATAAAAGTGGAATATGATTTCGTTGAAAAGTTATCGTTAAGTGCCTCGTTAAGTGCGATGTTGCCAAGTAATCACCTTCAATTAAAAATTGTTTTAGATTCGGTATAAATCTTTATTTGACACTGGTGACGACTAATTGAAAAACTGGTAAATGTAACCTAGACTCTTTACTAGCTAAGAGTATTGCAGAAGTAAGTTTACAGACCAATGGTAAACGTATCTACAATTTGGAAAAGCTGCATTCGTTTCTTGGCATGTTCAAAAATTTTAGTTTATTACTGTCAAATGGGCGCAGTACAACTGGGGAAATGATATTTTAATAAATATATTAACATTAGCTATTATAGGAACGAGTATTCAGTGTAATTTTCTAAATTTTAATATTTTTGGTTCACTTAATACTGAATAATTTTCAAGCCTAATATATACGCATAACAAAGACATCTAGCCGTAGCTTATTTAGGTATACATCCGAAAATAAATAAAAAATATTAAAACATACGTTCACTAAAGCTAATTCCAAATTAAACGACCTACATACAAAATTAAGTAGATACTCTAGTATTAGACTACGGTACTGATGCTCAAAACCGTTATTAAAAACTCAAAAAGTGTTCAATCAGAGTTGGAATCATCATCAAACGATACTGTCTTACCTGGGAAGGCGCTATAGACAGACCCCGTGTCGTCGTCCAAGTCGTCCGTACTGCTCATGCGTCCTTTACAGAAAAACAAAAAAGAACGTATCAAAAACAGACAAAACAACAAATTTGTGCTACATTAAAGAAACAAAAATCGGGAAAATTAAGTTTGTACACCTCTACTCGCCAACAAACCTAACAGGTTTCCTGTTAGAAAGGAAACAGAAAAATAGGAAACAAGAATATAGGTCTTGTGATAAAGGAAGAAGCAATTAAAAAATTACAGATTTTGCAACAACAATTATTGTCGTTGAATCAGAACGATATTCGATTTTATCTACAAATTTCTTAGATTTCAGAATGGATGAAAGTCAGAGAAAAGCAAATCTGGTTAATGAGAGGATGATGTAACAATTTGTAGTTTAAAATCTAAATAAAATATAAATTTTCCTATTTCTAATTTTTTTGAGAGTTTTTTGTACAAAATGTGTACATCTTTCCTTCTCAGAGGTCTACACTGCTAGCTATATCTCATACAACTATAATCTCTTTCGTGTAGAACTACATAATAATATATTGTATATTTGATGGAATCGATCGGTACTTGATGGAAATTCATTTTATGTAACAATAAAACACTGAAAACTATGTTTTCAAACTTCCACCAAATTTATTTTAAATCTTATCACTACAGCTGTTTCGACTGATTGCCTTTTTCAAGTGATCTATTTTTGGCTTGGGTTTACAAATTTATAGTCTCTAATGAAATAGGTTGAGGAGGGGAGAACTGTTTGTCTCAAGTTGGTCATTCAGAATTATATCTGTGTTTTTTAATTTGTTGATTTCCATAGATTCTAACAAAGATAGCTTAAGGCCTTTATTTTGAATGTGAAGAATTTTAAATTTGTCATTAAAACAATGATTATGATCTAGAAGGTGAAGTGCGTATGTCGAATCTGTTTTTCTATTCTTGAAAGCTCTTTTATGTTCTGCTATTCGTTTATCAAAGTTTCTACCAGTTTGACCGATGTAAGTTTTTGGGCAGTCGCCACATTGAAGTTTGTACACACCACTATTTAAGTGTTTTTTATTTTGGCTCTTGTTATTTTTAATATATTTGCCTAGGTTGTTATTTGTTCGAAAAGCTGGTGTTATTCCTTTCTTTTTTATGTGTTTGGCAATTTTTGTTGTTATTTTGCCTGTACAAACACATAAAAAAGAAAGGAATAACACCATCTTTCCGAACAAATAACAACCTAGGCAAATATATTAAAAATAACAAGAGCCAAAATAAAAAACACTTAAATAGTGGTGTGTACAAACTTCAATGTGGCGACTGCCCAAAAACTTACATCGGTCAAACTGGTAGAAACTTTGATAAACGAATAGCAGAACATAAAAGAGCTTTCAAGAATAGAAAAACAGATTCGACATACGCACTTCACCTTCTAGATCATAATCATTGTTTTAATGACAAATTTAAAATTCTTCACATTCAAAATAAAGGCCTTAAGCTATCTTTGTTAGAATCTATGGAAATCAACAAATTAAAAAACACAGATATAATTCTGAATGACCAACTTGAGACAAACAGTTCTCCCCTCCTCAACCTATTTCATTAGAGACTATAAATTTGTAAACCCAAGCCAAAAATAGATCACTTGAGAAAGGCAATCAGCCGAAACAGCTGTAGTGATAAGATTTAAAATAAATTTTGTGGAAGTTTGAAAACAAAGTTTTCAGTGTTTTATTGTTACATATTGTATATTTTTTCAGTAGTTGCTGATTTTCAGTTCATTATGATCAATCGTTATGCCATTTAAAGACCACTCTTATTTTTTTAGTGTTAATAATAAAGGCGCACATTATAAACTTTGAATGTACATATTCAACGGCTGTATTCAAAGGGCTGTAAATTTTTGAAGAAAGATGTTTTTGTATATATACTTCCAGGTGTTCATCCATTGACAATTTGGATTCCTTTTGACCTAAAAGGTAGAGACTACATTTTCCTTTTTGAGTTTTTTACCTTCACGTTGGGTGTAAGTTATGGCGTCGTATTTATTGTTACTGCTGGATTGTACATCTATTTATATGTATTCTCTTAATGTTTTTGTCTTGTGTATGGGATGGCTGCGATGTCTGCCAGAGCATAGGTCTATTTTGGGTCCTGGGTTATATTTATGTGAGAATAAGGCTAACAACATTTGCTCATTCTTTAGACTTACCTTTTTTCGTCTAGTCTAGCTGAGATTCGTTACTTTGTTTGACCTAAATATTGTTAGTCACAAGTTTGGCAGGAAATACTGTACACTTCTGCATTTTCTAATACAGAAAGCGAGTGTTGATCATAGTGATTTTAGTAGTAAGTACGCGGATGTTATGTTGTATTTACGTATAACCCGTCTAATTATGTCTGTAGTTTCCCTAATTTCAGTAGGCCATTTGTATTGTCGCTGCTGTTCTGCTTTCTCTATGGTGTTTTGCTTGTTTAGCTCTTCGTGCTGCCATTTTGCCTGAGGGCGTGCTTTAATTTTGACATACGTAGTTGAGTCATAAGAATCTTGTAATGGTAGTATTGCCAATTTCTTCTATTTGCGCTGAGTGCACTGTGTTCCAGAGAGCCGTCCATAAGTTTTGTGGTGATCATGTCAAGAAAACGATGTCGGCTGTTGGATTCTATTTCGAGTCAATGTTAAAAACTGATAAGATCCAATTCTTCATGCGGTTCATTTTGCCCTGTATAATCCATTAGATCATTTTATATACTTTTTGCGATCTGTTTTGTGATCTTTTTTATGAATTGCGTTGGGATACCTCCAGGCCTGGGAGATTTCTTTTACGACTTTTTCAATTTCTTTTTCTGTTATTTGTATTTCTTGTTACTGCTTTTTTGTTATTGATCGTCCTATTTTCTATGAATCTTGGCCTTTGCTCCTGTAGGAGTTAATTATAACAATAAAGGAACGAATTTTACGACCAAACGGTATTCAAGGTCATTAATTTGTCAAAATACACATCGCTTTTAATTTAAAGAGTGATATCAAACAAACTATTGATCTAATTGTATTTATTTTTAGTATTTCCTTTTGTAATACGTATGCAAATACGATACTACATTTATCTTGTAGTGCTGCCATCCGTAGGAGTTATTACTCTTGTATCCTCGTCCAGAGAATATTTTTTATCAAAAAAATTCGTAAATATAGGAATGGATCTGTCAATTTTAACAATAGCCTTAATGAATAAAGTAAAAGGACCAAAGCGGAAGTATGAGACATGGAAAACTACATACCAATCTTAAATAATAGACAAGGAAATTACAGTCACAAAAATTAAAAAGATTATATCAGCTTAAAAACGATTAAATACCTAACCCCTCGAAGGAAATCGTTTAGAATTAGAAAACGAAAAAGTGACGTTCGACGTAGTTTACTTTTTTCTTATAAACAAAATATACAAACAAAACCATCAAATAAGCTTCCCCAATTACAATTTCTGGCCAAACCTATCACAAAAGATATTTGTAAGTACTCACCCCTTAATCCTATTCCACGACCGTTGGCATTCCTATAAAGAGCATTTTCTAAGAAACTAAAACCGTTGTTATTCATAATATTGAAACTGCACAACATTTCTATTTGTTTCCATCGATGAACTCGTTCTTGTAATTCTTGAGTTACTTCGTTCAGTGCCGTTCTAGCTTCGACTATGCTCCTGTCCACCTCGTCTATAGATTTGCCGTGCGTGGAAACGAATGCTCCTACCAGGCTCGATCTTTTCTTCCGCAGTTTTTCGCACTGAAATAACAAAAATGTTCAAAAAATTTCGAAAATCTCATATTTACTGGAGGTACCCCTATATTACGACTATGACATTGCCCTTAAGAACGCATCGATTTCCCATGCCAAGTCTAAGCTAAGGGTAAAGTAAGTAAACCTCTAAGGTATATTCTGACAATTTTTGACGTCACGTTTGAACGGGTTACATTTACATGACATTTTATGTGAATTTTGATGTGCAACGTGGCGTGCTATGAGCATTATATGTGAAAATTAACGTCAAAAGTTACATTTCTCTTGGAACGGGCCTTTTTAACTGGAATTCTATGTGAAACGTAACGTTTATAAGTCAAGTTTTAAGTGAAATGTGGCATTTTTCGTGAAATTTGTCGTAAATCGTGACATTCTACGTAAAACGTGATATTTTACGTGACTTTTGGATGAAACGTGACATTTTTAGTCAAATTTGTCGAGAAACATTATATTTTATCGTGGAAGGTGACAATTTTATGTGGAACGTGAAATTTTACATGAAATGTGTCATTTTTTGTGTAACTTGTCGTGGAACGTGACCATCGAGCAAAAAGACAAAAGAGGGAATGTAAAGGTAGTGGGGACAAAAATATTATTAGACAGGAAGTGCCATCTTGAGAGGCCACTTTAAACAAGGAAAGACAGGCTCTTTCTCTTTCCTTGTTTAAGAAATCAAATTTAGTTTGGTTATTATGTTATTGTTTATCCCAACTGTCACATGAAATTTTATTTATATTGAATTTTTTTACCATTTGTGTCACACGTTAGACTGTTATCGTTAATATTTAATTAAAACTTTCTCGTCTGAAAAATATTATATAACTACTGTTAATAAGTATCGAAAAATTTAAATTTCTCCTTTTCATAACGATTAGATTCCCTCTTTTGTCTTTTTGTTCGATGAACGTGACGCAAAAATGGCACGTTTGCCGCCACGTAATATATCCCGTTTAAATATGACCATAAACAGTATTTTTTGTTGGATTTAACATGGTAATGGGGACGTTCTTCTGCAGCCTATTTGCTGATGTTTCGATAAGCACATAAATATAAAAAAAATAAAAATACAAACGCGTTTGCCAACAAAAACTTTACTTCACCTAAAAAAAATAGATGAAAAAACTTGATAATATTATACTTACAGCTTCTCGTGCTTGTTGTAACTGCTTCTCGGCTTGGATCTTCTTCTTAAGATATGACTTATTTTCAATTTCGTGCGTTAATTGCAGCCACTGCTGGAGTGCTACTGGTGGCGCCCAGCACCTGTCTTTCAGTTCGCCCTCAGCCAGTTGCAATTCAGTCCTTAGCATCTATAAAATAAAACGAAACGAACAATAAAAAGTTTTGATATAAAGTAAACATTATGGTAATATCGTAAAAAATATTTTCTAAAAACATAATTTTGCACGTTTCTATTCAGCTTTATTTAAGATTTGCTTCACCGGTACTATTAAAGAGCACTCCCAGATAGAAAAATGGGCATGTACAATAATTTATAACATTACAATAATTCTTTGTTTTACATCTAACTTACCTCTATTTCCGCTTTCAACTGAGTAACTTCCAAATCCGAATAGGAACTAGGCAACGAATTAAGTTCACTTCTGGAATCTTGTAGTTTCTTTTCTAAGTCCTGTTTTTCGGTTATCACAGATTCTTGAGCCTGCTTGGCCTCCTCCAATTCCTTCTGGAGATTCTCCAAAGCTTTTTCGGCGTTTTGGAGGCTGTCCATATCCTTTGTCATTCGATTCAAGTGGATCTTGAACTTCTTGTTTTGCTGGTAGTAGTACCAAGCTCCGAGACCGCCGGCGATGGTCAAAAAGATTAGGGTTAGATCCTTCCAATGGGGTACATCTAAAAACATGTAACACGCCGTTATTTAAGAGGAAAACTTCAAACCTAATTTGAAAAATATTTAAAAAAGAAGAACTGTTCGACCAGGTTGATAGACAATAGACACAAACTGGTGGATATTATGAAAAGAAGAGTATATATATATATATATATATATATATATATATATATATATATATATATATATATATATATATATTGTGTACATACTAATTGGATCTACCTTAAAATTTTCAAATAGGGAACAATTTCATAATATCTAAATATTTTTCATAATCATAAATATTTTTGATAATCATAAACATTTTCATAATTATATATAAAAAGTCAAAGCGTACAAGCGTACAGATGTTAATTAACCTCCAGTAAAGAAACCAAAATACTCTGAGTTAAACTTTCTAAATTTGGTGTCAATTTAAAGCTAATTTTTGTGGTATTTCAAGTGTTCAAAGTGTCAAAGTGTCGTTAAAATGTGATTGTGTAATAATTGATTAATCTGCTATTAACTGAAAATAACTCTGCAATATTACCCTTTTTTGTGGTAATTTCTTCTTCTTCATGTACCATGTCCTTTCAGAACGTTGGTTACCATCATAGCTATTTTAATTTTATTCACTGCCACCCTAAATAGCATGCTTGTATCTACACCATACCAATCTCGCAAGTTCTTCAACCATGAGGTTCTTCTTCGTCCTGGACTGCGTTTGCCTGCTATTTTTCCTTGCATGATATTTTGTAGCAATCTATATTTGGGACCTCTCATTACATGTCCGAAATATTCCAGCTTTCTCTGCTTGATGCTTTTTATGATCTCAGTAGTCTTGCTGAGACGTTCTAGTACTGTGGAGTTACGAATCTTCTCCACCCATGAAATTTTTAAAATTCTTCTATAGCACCACATTTCGAAAGCCTCAAGGCGATTTAGATCAATTTTATTCACAGTCCAGGACTCGACAGCATAAAGTAAGACCGAGAACACGTAGCAGCGAAGTAGGCGGATCCTTAATGCCAATTTTAGGTCTCTGTTACATAACACCTTGGACATCCTTCTAAAAGCAGCTCTAGCCTGCTCTATTCTGGATCTATGTGGTAATTTACAAAACATAAAAAAACAGAACTAGTCCATTATCTATATGACAACTGATAAAGCTCACTAACAGACTTTTAGTGTACAGAACCGACTTTCAAAATTTTAAATCAGAAAATGAAGTGTATGGAATGTAAGAAAGATGGTACTGAAGAAGAAATGCTTTATTGTGATAGCTGTGATGACCTGTTCACAAATATACTTATTGTTCTAGTATTTGTTCATCAGAGATTAGGGTTAGGAAGTTAAAGAAGAATAGTGTTCTACAATTTTTGTGCCAAGAATGTAGATCTGGCATGAAATTTGTTCCAAAACTGCTCAAATTAATTAAAAAACTGCAGAATGAGGCTAATGATATGAAACAGAATTCTAAAAACCAAGAAGATATTCTAAATGAGGTGTTTAAAAGACAAAAGATAATAAACAACTTAATTATTCATAATCTAGGGAATTACTTGTCACCCCTGCTTTTTAACGTTTACTCCGAAAGAATTTTCAGAAAAGCACTTTCTGAAAAACAAGAAGGAATACTTGTGAACGACGAAGTCATCAATAATTTGCGATATGCGGACGATACAGTACTCCTAGCTTCTAGTCAAGAAGATCTGCAAACACTACTTGATAGTGTCGTTGAGAGTTGTAGGGAGGCAGGTCTGAATCTTAACATACGGAAAACCAAAATACTCGTAATAACCGTCTATATATGTAAATAATACCAAACTTGAGTAAGTTGATTAAATCGTTTACCTTGGACAGCAATTAAATTGTAACATAGAAAGTTACGGCGAAATTAGATCTAGGATAGAGCAGGCTAGAGCTGCTTTTAGAAGGATGTCCAAGGTGTTGTGTAACAGAGACCTAAAATTGGCATTGAGGATCCGATTACTTCTCTGTACGTATTCTTGGTATTACTTTATGGTGTCGAGTTCTGGACTGTGAATAAAATCGATCTAAATCGCCTTGAGGCTTTCGAAATGTGGTGCTATAGAAGAATTTTAAAAATTTCCTGGGTGGAGAAGATTCGAAACTCCACAATACTAGAACGTCTCAGCAAGACTACTGAGATCATAAAAAGTATCAAGCAGAGAAAGCTGGAATATTTAGGACATGTAATGAGAGGTCCCAAATATAGGTTGCTACAAAATATGCAAGCAAAAATAGCAGGCAAACGCAGTCCAGGACGAAGAAGAACCTCATGGTTGAAGAACTTGCGAGATTGGTATGGTGTTGATAGAAGCATGCTATTTAGGGTGGCAGTGAATAAAATTAAGATAGCTATGATGGTAACCAACGTTCTGAAAGGACATGGTACATGAAGAAGAAGGTATAAAATGACATTGACCTGTCTAGCAATATTATTACATCGATATTCTTAAATAATATAACTCTAACATACTAAAAGAATCACTAAAATCGGACAACAGGTTTAGGCAATTCGAGACATCTAACATGTCCCATTTTTAAGATGTTCCGTTAATTTTGCCTGTGAGTGTAAATAAATAAATTTAGTTAAGAGTCCGAAATTATTGAACTGAGGCTTAAATATTCAGAATTTTTAAATTTCCAGGGTTTAATGGTTTCAAAAAGAAAAATATATGCTATTTAACATAACGAACTGTATTATATTTTTAGAAAAAATGAAAATTTGACAATGTAAATACGACCATAGGATCGATCGTATTACAAAACGTTCACAAATCAAAATTTTTAAAACTTATGCAAGCTGTTTCCAAAATAATGAGTCATTCCATACTTTTCCAAACTCACTCGACTCTATACAGAATTTATCTAATTACCCCCGTATGTAATTGTCGAAAATACATTCGCTAGAATACTTGCTATAAATGTGTATACTTACTTTGGGTTTTTCAATGAGTAATAAAACATATTAATAATCATCTTAGGTACCGAGATAATTCGCGGAAACAAAAAAAAAACAAAAATTTGACCACAATTATGTTATCAGAGAAATTTAGCGTTTCCTATTATCAAAAACCGGACGTCAAGGGTTAAAAAACAACAAATAACTTATGTAATTTACAGTGTTAAAAATATTAATCGTAAAGTAATGACAAAACAATTGTTGTTATACGTAGATAAATGGTAGCAATGATGAAAAAAAAAAATTTACCAAACTCAATACAATAAGTTAAAATGATCATTAGGAAAAGTGCAGAGAATTTTAAGAAATCTGAATGTCAACAAAATATCAAGAAATCGACCAACTTCAGTAAAGATATGATACATTTAATGTTCATAATAAAGTAACAAAAAAAAAACAATTTTAAGAAATAATAATAATGAAATAACTATTAGGCTAACTGTACCCCCTCCACATTGCAAAAGTGTCATTCATGTCTTCCGTCGAATCCTACTCTGCTGCAGTTTATATTGTATTATATAGAAAAGATCGGTTTTTCAGTTAAGAATGTCTTTTTCTATTAAAGTAGGTAGTACATAATATGAATGAAAAAAATCAACTTGCTAAAAACTTTAAATATTTTAAATGTGATGTAATCCAATTGGATGCAAAAGTGAAAGTCGTATAAATAAAGATCTTTTATTCCATTGTTTACTTGTTCCAAAAAAAGGTTCAGTATATTTAAGGTTAAGCGATGACTGATGATTTAGAAATATATTGGGAACGCAATAAGCTCTTTTTTCCCTAAACGTACTTATACCTTGATGTAGAGACATATATGTTTTATAGACTATCGAAAGGAGTATAGTCAAAATTCTAAGATCAACCGTTATTACAGAACTCTACTGGCACCAAACAGTAACAGTCCGAATAAAACAAACTTTGTTGTTTCTCCACTCCTGTTTAATCTGTACTCGGAATCTATATTTAAGAAAGCATTGAACGAGTCCCAAGATCGAATTAAGATCAACCGAACAACGATAAACAACATCAGGTACGCAGTCGACACCGATCTAATAGTAAACAAGGTACCAGAGCTACAAAACATCGATAACATGCATCTACATGTCAAGGAACAAAAATAGAACAAATAACCTCTATAAAACATCTGAAAGCTAATGTCACCGGTGAGAGCCATCCTAAAAAAAGAAATAATGTCAAAAAAATAAAGACTTTTTACAAGACCAAACCTCACTACTCGGATGATCAGATATTATGTTTTGTTTGTTTTACTCTACAGGTGGGGGAGTTGAACAATCGACCGGTTATTATATATATAATTTCACGGTTATTATACAAAAAATTGCGTTAGTTGTCTAACTAAGATCACTTATGGATGCAACCTGGATAGATGGATGCAATGTAACTTGAATGCCATAAGAATTTGTGTAGCTGACTATTATCTGATGGTGTTTAAAACCAATTGTACAAGGTGTTTGTCATTTTTAAAAATACGTTAATATCTTTAAGCATAATGGTAAACATTTATGACTTTTAACGAGTATAAATACATGATGCTGACATAACTAATGTTACGTAAGTGAGAGCGCTCACCAACGTGGCGTGGCACGTGGCAAGAAGCAAGTAGCACGCGTCTAGCATGTTTCTTAAAATGTAACCAATGAAAACGAATGATTAGAATGAATGACGTCACTGTCATTTTGGTGTGCGCTGAATCATTCGTTTTCATTGTTTACATTTTAAGAAACATGCTAGACGCGTGCTACTTGCCACTTGCTACGTGCCACGCCACTTTGGTGGGCGCTCTCACTTAGTATTTGCATTTGGGGATTTTTTTATGATACATAGGAATATTTATATACATTGGGTAGTTTATATGCATCATTAAGGGCAAAATATGTGGATCGAAGAACAACATCATGGCTTCATAACCTACGTGAGTGAAGTCTTCGTCGTCAGTCTTCAAAGCTGCGGTGAATAAAATTATGATAGCCAACGTTCATTAGAGGACATGGTAAGGAGGGAAGAGAA